ATCATCATCATCATCATACCTGGACTTACTGTGACTGTCCTAATGTCCCATCAACCTGAACATTGAACAGCACGACACATTCTTCTTCTTCTTCTTCTTCTTTTTATCCCATAAGACAAAAGACAAAGACGATGCAGAGGGAGACGGAGGCAGAAACAGTTCCATCCTTTTCTCAAACCCATTCCCTTAACACCTCATTAAAGTCTCTCTAGAAGCGATTCCCTCGGCGGAATCATTTGTCACACACTGTGCTGACCTCAGATCAGCCCAATTGTAAAGGTGCTGTCCTCAGAATTAGACTAAGGGTTTGCAAAACAGAGACAAAGACAGTCACACCTCCATACACTCGGCTCATTAGTGAGGACACATCCTGTACCAGTCACAGGGCTTCACCGAAAATCCAATTACTCCAGGCCAGACCAGTCCACTGACTCCAACCAAATCAAATCATATCCTGGGAACCGGCCTCAGTCCAGTTTACTTATGGAAGATGGAAGATTCTGTAAAAAAACACACACACAAAAAAAACACAAAAGAAGATGTAGCGTTTTGGGGGGGCTTCAAATCCACTCTCCAGGATTGGGGAGGTTTCAAATCTGCTGTGGTCGGCAAGAATGACAATATTTACTTTCAAAACCATGTTTATTAAATTTAGAAAACACCATTTTGTTAACAGTTTCATAGCAAGAGCAGGAACAAGTGAAACTGTAAGAGAGATAGAAAGAGAGAGAGGGGGAGAGAGAGAGAGAGATAGAGAGAGAATGGGGAGGAACAGAGAGAGATAAGGGGAGTAAAGGGGTGAGTAGGGGAGAGAGAGATAAAGAAAGAGAGAGGGAGAGAGAGAGAGAGAGAGAGATGTCAATGGGGCCTTGGCCAACCCCTGAGTTAAAAACCAGCTGTGTTTGACCTCATCCTTTTCCTATGCTTCTGCTCTGTGTGGTCACCTGCAGCTAACCTGGCATAGACTAGTAGAGTCAGTCAGTGTGGTAGTCAGCACGTGAAGGTAGCACACCTAAAGAAAAGGAGACATAAGAAAAGACTCTGTGGACGTCAGGTAGAAAAGTTGATTTTGCAAAGTCACTTTTCAAGTCAAGGTAATTCCTGCCAGAAGGATACGGAGTACGCAACATTAACATGTAATTAGGTTGCCAAACCATATCGGTATGTAGGTTTTAACCACTGGGGGAGGGAGTTTCCGCACAGCTTAAAGGACAGTTGGGGGGGAGGGGCGGAGGGAGGCAGTGAGGGAGGGGGTGCAGTACTGATACAGTCCGAAAAAGGAAGTGCAAACAATGTCTATAAGGTGTGTTTGTTGAGGGGGTTCTGTGGGCGAGAAGTTACAGGTGTACGAGTGAACCCCCTTCACTCGTCAAGGCGCCGACAGGGGCGACTCTCTGGAGGGTGAGCCCGAAATATCCTCGGGGGGGAAAACTGTGAGTGTGCAGGCCCGGATCCCGCCCAACGACTCGGGTAAGTCAAACACTTTGTGCCATTCGTCCTTTTCAGGGTCATATTTCTGTACTATTTCCACCATGCAGCGATTGTTCCAGGAGTAACCCCCCACCACGTAAATCTTATTCTCAAACACGGCCACGCCCACGTCGCTCTGACCCCGCAACATGGCAGCAATAGGTGTCCATAAGTCTAGGGCGGGGGAGTAGTACTCGCAGCTCAGAACGTCGTCGTAGTCGCTGGTGCCTCGGAAGTGGTTACCCCCGATCACGTAGAGGCGGTCCCCCACCGTGCACATACAGTGCAGGCCCCGGACCGTGGTCATGGGGGCTTTGTGAGTCCACTTGTCTGCGTCGGGGTCAAAACACATTAACTCCTTCTGAAAAGTGTCGTGAGTGATTCCACCTGCAGGAAAAAAAACAAAAAAAAAAGGGAAAACGTTGATTTTAGCCGGGTCTACAGTTCTACCCTGGAACATGTATTAAAACCATATGTTATTGATTTAAACTATAGTTTTATATTTTAACAGATATCATCCACATATAGCAACACAATGAAGTTTCTGGAAAAAATCAAAGGAGCAAAATAACAATACAAAAACAATTCTATGGCAGCAGCTGTGACAACATCTTGTCTTCAAGATATGAGAGACTTATTTCACGTAATAAGTACAGAAGTGACTGAAGGCTAATATCAAGTGGTTGAAAAAAGAAAACCCAAAAAAACATCCATTAATATTTGAGCATTATTGATTTCTGCAGAATGATGTCTTTTATTAATGCAGCCAACAAACTGGCTGGTGAATCCTGCAGGGTTTATAGAGAGACTGCTTCAGATCGAGTTCATATTCGCAGCCAACACATGACCCACATTATGTTGCACTGAGGACCTAAGATGCTGCAATGTGTGCAGTTTGAATATTTAAGGTGCAGATAATTGTCAAAACAGCTGACGTAACTATAGCCTCTGTATCAAAGTGAAAAAAAAAAAAGTCCTAATCTATCCTTCTGGCAATCCTCAGCTAAACAAACGCTCTGTAAACTTGGAAGCTTTTTGTTTTTGTGAAAATGCTGCCATTGAACTGCAGGTACAAACAGTACAGAACTTTCATTCACATACACAGAGCTGTCTGTAGATGCGCAGACATAAAAAAAAAAAAAAAGTGGGGAGGGAGGTAAAAAAAAAAAACAGGACATGTCTACAGGGAAGGCCGAAAATAAAAGAGGAACACAATCCCAGCATGCATTTGGGTGTGAGCCAAGGCGCCGAGCTGCTGAGCATCACCCCTCCACCCTCCCCTTCCCCCCCCAATCCCTACTGCCAGTGACTAGGACCAAATGAGGTGAAGATTTGCAGCGCCTGGTGATTAGAGGCTAAAGCCCTGTATTGTTGCTGTGCAGCGTTCGTGTGCTGGGTTCATTCACCGCTGTGACCTGAGGTGTCTATTCAGCCGCCATGACTAAGAGCCGCAAGGCTGCGCCGCCTTAAACGATCAAATCCAAAGATAGTCCAACTATCAATTTCCTTTATCCAAGCACTCCAAAGGACAAGTCGACCATTAAAACCCAGATAAGAGCACAATGCCGGAGCTGGCACAGGGTCGTCCTAATTCCTCCCAGGAGGCGCCGCGGCCATTAGGATTCAGTTGGAGAGCTTTGTCCTTGCCCTGTTATGATGTCTGATCAGTGTCCTGTGATCCTAATGTCCACTCAGGTGCCATTAGGGAGAAAATTAGGAGCAGACAAGTTGTTTTTGCTCAAGCGAGGACAATTGTTTTTGCCTTTGCATAGACGGCGCAGGGTATAATGGCTTAGTGTCAGTATAATGTGACACACAGTGAATGCTACAGCCATTAAAGCAGGTAATTGGTGCAAATGTTGCAAAAGGTCATTGTTTCTCTGCTCCGTTTTTGAGAACGGCTTATTCTAAACAATGAATAATGACAATAAAATAAAATTCTTGCAGAGAAGTCCCCTAGAATCATAGTGTGTAATTGTTCAAAACAAACAAAAAACACGCTGTTTCCTAAAGCGTATGAAAAAAAAACAAAACAACAACCACGGCTTCAAAATCATTCCACAGTTTTGCAACGTTTCAACAAGGCCATCAATCACTGCAGGGACATTAGAGTCTGCAATTCAATTTTCGGCTGTGTCATTCACCAGTGTCTGTGTAACACACAGTAATACTCAGCCATTTACTCTGGAGGAAAAGGAAACTGAGATTTTAGACATTTAAAAAATCAATGACATTGTATAGAGATACTGCATGTTGAGTCCTGCAAACAATTATTGAAGTAATGAGTCATGAATATTTTTGTTTGCACAGGGCCTGCCTGACTTAGGGGGACTCAAACCCATGACATTTACATGTGCCTGGCTTAGGGGGACTCAAACCCATGACATTTCTGAAAGGTACTTCACTCATAATTCCAAAATGAACACAAAAGACTGCAGTATATCGTTAAGTAGTTAATTAAAAGACGGTGTTTGAAGGAGCTGCAAATACAGCGCGTCTATTAAGAAAATACTCCAATAATTGTCTGACAGAAAAAAAGAATACTAAGAAAAACCACAGGAAGTGTCTCTGCAGGAGTCAACGTCGCTGAGAGACTGAATTGAAATAATCAATCCAAATTTCTCTAAGCACACGGAGCCTTTTGTTGCAGAGAACTCAATAATGTCCTTTAAGAAAAAAAAAAAAAAAAAGCCTGTGAGATCTAATCTGTCTGATAATAAAGCCGAGGCAACGAGCTTCTGTGACGCCTCGGCACTGGTGTCTGAACCCTGCCACAGCACTTGAGCTGTGACGGTCCGTGGGCTGACTGCATGTGTCAGGTCCATCCAGCTGACAGCAGCTTCAGACAGCACAGCTGAACTGTCAGACGGTGCGTAGAGAGACGGCAGGACCCGGACGAAACGGAACCCCATCCGACGGAAGGAGCTCATTTACCTGCAGTGTTTGCATCAAGAGCATCAAGAGTGTCTGTCTGCTTATAGAGCACTTTTCAAAATCCTTTACGACCATCGGAGGCACTTAACAGTTTCCAAATGAGCCGTGCGAGTTCCCCTCTTGTCTTATAACCCACAGCAGTATTCATAAAACTGCCTGACCGGATCTAATCTATTACATGCAAATGCTCATTTTCTCCCCGGCATGTACTGTATATCAGGATGCTGTAGGTGCAAAACCTGACACCGGTGTCACGGCTCAGCCGGCTGTTTCGACAGCAAAACTCTCCCGTTTCCCCGCAGTAACAGTTGGCTGAGTTGACTGCCTATTACCTGCCTCACTGGTACATGAAACCAACAAATGAGGAATCCATTATAATATCAAAGAAGAGAGCAGTAAATCCCATGTACTGCAGAGAACGGCCCCGAGCAGAAAAACTGAAGCAGATTAGTGTCTGACTGCCGTGATATCCATCTCTCCAGCGTCTTTCATCTCTTTTACTGCCGAGCTTAAAAAAACGACAAACGCGCGTTCACATGCACGCCCTACGCCCCTTGTGCTTGCCAAGTGAAATACTACCAAATAAAAATGTTTTTAAATATCTAAGGCAGCTTTAAAGTAATGCATAATAAAGGCAGATGTGTAATCACAGCTCACAACTCAAACACGCACAATTTCAAACATGTCGCTGATGCCGCCGTCTGATTTGTCCAAAATTACTTTTCCACTTTTCCATCGGCGCAGCACTGTCGGCCAGTGTTGCGTGTTCTCCTACAGCCGTTCAGGGTCTCATTGTCCTCTTGGGTACTTTACTGAAGTAGGTCAACAATGTCAACAGTTTAGTGGTACTTTAACATCAAGGACAAAGATTTGTTCTCTTACGGTACGGAACAAAAACTGAATAAATCAGCTGAAGACGTTCCCTGGTGCTGAATACTCTGATGCAGGGGCGACCAATAAGTAGTTTGAAATCCAGTAGATCGGATTTTTTTTTTTCCAGGACAACCCTGATATTTAAGTAAACCAAACTTTACACACACCCACCATATATATACACACTGTAGTCTTCATCTTCCTACATCCTTCAACCTTGAACCCCATGAATTCTTTACTGTTACACCAACCATTTTTTCCCAGTATCTTTGTTCAGCTCGTGTCCGAACCATCTCAACTTCACTGCTGACTTCACTCCACCTGTGACTTGTCAGTCCCAGTTAAAATCTCAGCATCCCAATCTCCTCCAGCTCCAGCTCAGACTCAGCTTCCTGTCCATTAAACAGTGTCTCTGTCTCTGAACCCTACATCATATCAAGTCTCACCAGTGTCTTCTAAATCTTCCCCCTCTAACTTGGCTGCTTTAGTTAATGCCCAACTATATTTTGGATAGTTAGACTAAGAAAAAGTAAAATAAAAAAAAACCTGAACACGAACATAAGGTGAAGTGGAGCTAATAGAGCATGTAATGTGTGCCGTGTGTAAGGTAACGGTAACACAACGTTGTCTGATAACGACTTTGCAGGAATAATGAGATCTGTGGATTATGAAATTAAATTCACTGCTGGTGTGAACAGTAATCAAAAACCAGGCAGTGTGTCTAATAAAATAGAATATATATATATGCAGCGCAGCACCTTACAGTGTACATAAGCATAGTATTACTGCTTTACTCCTTTCATATATATTTTTTGTCACAGACAAAGACCATGTAAAAAGTGGACAGAGCCTTCAGTGGATCAGGGGAACTCTGCTGTCCTCCTATTATTTATGTGCTGGTGGAAGAAGCACTTTTTCTTATTATTATATTTTTCTTTCTCATCCCTGTTAATTTTACACAAATACTTACTGTATATATGCATATGTATATATATCTATCTATATATATACATTTATATATATATTATGCAATTTGTACAATTAAAAAAACAAGCAAAAACTTGCTTGTTCTCCTTGTTTGAACTGTTCAGAGACACAGCAGTGTCCACGTACGGGGATCTGGGGATTAGCACACGCACTCGTCTGTGTTCCACCTCCTCCACAGGTTTTTTTTTTGTCCTTTACTTTGCTCCATCTATCCCAATTCCACTTCCACACCCGCCTCTCCCTCCCTTCTCTGTGGCATCACTCTGGATTAGTCACACTGGGAAACTAGGGCTCATCTCCATAATGCCGGATTTGTTTTCAATCCCATGAAGTGAGCAAGTACTGAGGTGGCACATAAAGATTAAGCACCGAGTCACAAAAGGCCCAACCTTAGAGTCCACTAAAAAAAAGTGTGCATATGGTAAAAAAAAAACAAAAAACTCAGCACGCTCATTAAGGAAGAGTTCAGGAGACATTAAGAATGTCTTAATAAACAGTAATCATGTTAAATTATTTTATCTCATGTGAACGCAAAATAACAAGCGTGCAGTGGAACACGAAATTAGCTGCAGATTCTGGTTGAAAATAATAATAAACTTCCAACAAGATTAGTCACATAATATACTAACGGTGAAGCATTAACTTCACAGTGCACAAATTTTTAGCTTTTTTTTTTCTGCGAATCCCAATTTCCTTCAATTGACATTCATATACAAACTATCAATTGTTCTTCAGTGCAAAAACCCTACAAGTTATTAAGAAACATTTACCCGAAACTGCTCTCAGCGACAGGTTTTCTGTTCAGTTAGAGGTAGAAAAGGGGAAAAATAATATCACCGTCATAATTGTAATGGGCATAAATATAATCCCTTAATAAGCAGAGGATTAAGACATTAATTTATATCCCACAAACACACCCACACACACATATATATATACAACGCGAAACGCAGTGACAAATGCACATTTTTTGCTTTTTTTTTATCTGGAAGTGAGGATCGCCAAAAACAATTTTTGCGAATCCCAATTTCGCAAAATAATATCACCGTCATAATTGTAATGGGGATAAATATAATCCCTTAATAAGCAGAGGATTAAGACTTTAATTTATATCCCACAAACACATCCACACAAATATATATACATATTTATACATACATACATACATATGCCTATATACATACATATATGCATACATATATACACATATATACATATATATTTATATGTATATATATACACATATATATATATTTACATACATTTGTATAGCTATGTATATCCCCATTTTAATTAGGCTAATAAGAAACGAAGCCACTCACCTGAAATATACATATAACCACCGTACACTGTCCCAGCGTGACCATAATGTGGTTCATTCATTTTGGCAACATACGTCCATTCATTTGTCCTTGGGTTGTAGCACTCCACAGTGGCTTGAGGGTGAAAAGAGAGATTGGAAAAGAAAGAAAGAAGAGAACGTATTAGCTGAAAGAATTAGGCCAAGACACATCGAAGGAGGACAAACAGCTGCAAATGAGGCCTTGGAGGGTCTCTGCGTGCAGGCTAAAATGTGGATTAAAATACAGAGGAGTTATTTGCACTGACTGCTCAGGAAATATAAAGATGCTGAGATCCTTTATCTGAAGGTCCCCGAGGGGGGGATTCATCATATCTGTGAGGAGCAGGAATAAGGACACTGGGACTCACGAGAGGGGCTTGTCATGGAGTGATTGGTGGCTGAAAGCCCCCTTCACTGAGTAAACAGGGTCTACCGCTGTGTGGGCTCTCCATCTCTTACAAAATGGTTCTTTGAAAGGCTGCCGAGACAGCGCGGCGTCTCGACGAACGTGGAGTGGCACCAGAAAGAACCAAAAATATTAGGGACCGGTTTGAACGGTTTAAAGAACGGTGTGTGTGTGTGTGTGTGTCATCAGAACTGGTTACACATGATGCAATCAGACCTCGTGACCAAACATGAAGACAAAAGTGTACATTTATAATTAACCATACTGAAATGAATTAAATCACATCTGAACATATTGTAACGAATTGAAATTTAGAAATGATGATTTAAGACAATTAATAATTAGCCATAATTAATTACAATTATGATTAATTGTAATTGATCCACAGCTTTCCCATGATTAAAATGTATATTATTATTTATATTTATATATATAAATATATTTATAGATATATTTACATATATTTATAGATATATTTAAATATATTTATATATATTTACATATATATATGTATATATATATACATATATATATGCATACACAAGCACACAGAATATATACAGGCTTTTACTGGCACAAGAAGTGACTGTGTTTTTGGATATATGTCACAGACACAAAGGGCTTTACAAGAAGGACAGAAACAGCCCAAATGCACTGTTGTTCAAATCCATTCCTATTGATTCCAGAAAACCAACGTAAGCTCAGGATTCATCTCTGGATCAGTTGGAAAAAACACTGAGCGGAGGAGAGTGAGGACTTTTATTTGCTTGACCAAAGTCTGTTAAAGTCCATCTGAGCAGAGACACCAAAAAAAAAAAAAACCTCCGGCTTCAGTGAAACAGAACAGTCAGTATTAGAAAACAATAATGTGAACTGAGGGGTGACATTGGCCGTGGAGCAGAGATAACCTTGGATTTACCTCTAAAAATGAGTTCAGAGGATAGTTTGACACACAGGCCAATGCTTGTTTTAATTGTAACAGAGAGTGATGTAATTTAATTTACCGGTACACCATTTTAGAGTTGAGCCACTTCTTCATTATGTCAAATTTAAATAGAATTTTTTAATAGAAAATAAATGAGTCACATTTAAAGTTAGCTACATTTTACACCTGAAAATAAAAAAAATAAAAAAAGGAAAAAGACTGCAACACAGAACTATTGTTGGTTGTATTTGGCAAACTCTGCTATGTTGTTATATTCTCTGAACTCCGTCAATGGCTCCCAACAAGGCAGTTGGGGTGGGTGGGTAATAAGATTAAAGAATCTGTGGAGGCGGATCAATCCTAATAACAAGATACTTAGCAGGAGAAAAAAAAAAAACAAACAAACAAACATAATGCAACACACAGGTGTCGCCTGGTTCAGTGAAGACCTGAGCTCTTTCCAAATTTACCTGAAAGACCAAATTAAATTATTAAAAAAAATAAAAAAAATAAAGGAAAACTTCAAAATGTTGTTTTCTAATAGTTGAAAAAAACAAAATCACATAAAGGCAGGAAAGTGTTTAAGAAAGTCTTCAAGGTGAATAACAGGGGGTGTAAGAAAATATCGATACGCTGAAATATCGCGATATTCCGTTTCACAATACCGTTATTTTTTTCTTAACGGGGCTGGTTAATTTCGTTTTGCTTTTATTGCTTCTTGTTCAAAATGTAATAACCTGATGTTACGCATGTAACCAATACTATCACAGAATATCGCAATATATTGTATCAATGCCTACGTATTGTCTCACGAGATTCTTGCCTTACACACCCTTAGTGAATAAAAACCGTCTCAGTTCAGAACATGAACTGGTTCAAACTGACCCAGTGTTGTCCTTTTTCTTTATTCCCCCTCAGGTGTAATATGTTCTGAGTGCTGGAAAACAAACTAATGAAGGGCAGAAACTGTTCTTACTCACCCTCCTCTCCAACCACGGCAGAATAATAATTTGGGTTTCTAAAATACACCGTTGGCTCGTTGTGTCTAGTGAAACTGGGCTTCGCCTTCATGGGCTGTGTATTTTTTTAATTTTTTTTTTATTGTCTTAGTTTTCTACTTTCTTTTAACTTGGTCCAATCCCTCAGCTTTTGGTAAAGTTGGTTTTTTGGTTTGGTTTTTGGACAGGAACAATGAAGTTTTAAACATCATAACTTCAAGACTTACCAAACACAAGTGGAAATATCCTTCAATGTTCGACATTTTATTGGTCAAATGACTTGTTGACCAATGAAAAAAAAAAAAAAAAATACGACTGACTGAATAGAAATAGAAATGCTGCTTTCAACTTGCGATGAAAACCCAACCCAACCCAACCCTCCTTCTCCTCCTCCGATGCCCTCTACAGGTTGGATGCGTCAATAAAACCCATGTGACTGATATTAACCAGGGGGTGGGCGGCTCCTGAGGAAAGGGGTGAAACCACATGCAGAGAAAGAGCAGTGGGACGTGGAGCAGTAAAAGTCACTTGTGTCGACGGGCAGTGAAGTGAGGCTGTGCATTTTGGTCTAATTATAACCCAGAGGACGAGGCTGCT